TGCTGGGTTTTAAGTATTTTCTTTTCTTCCCCTTTACTGAGGATTGAACACTAGGACTCTGTTGTCCTTCCTGTTCAGATGGAAAGGTATTCTGGGACTCAGGAGCCCAGGAAACACACAGCTCTGGGGTGGGACAGTGTCCCAGTGGAAGGGCATCCTGAGACATGGAGGCCCAGGAACCACACAGCTCTGTGAGGACGCCTCCTCAGCAGAGAAGTTGCAGCTCCCAGGGGATGGTATCCCCAGCTGACCTGAGAAACTCAGAAGCCTCTGCCCCATTCCTTTTTCACATTTTTTTTTCCAACGAGAGAGAAATATCAGGTAGCAAATCTCTTAAAAGAGATTTATTGAAAGAACAACTCCAGGAGGAGGAGGAACAAATCCAGGAGTGGCTGTCTCTGCTCCTGGGAGAAGGCAACAGGGAATTGAGCAGATAGGTTTTATACAGGATTTCTTAGGCTTTCTAGGGCAGAGATTTCCAGGGTAAGGATGGGTGGGATTTCAAGTCCAGATGTTGGGGAAGCTCAAGGGTTGGTGGGTTTTTGTTTAAATATTGCACTTAAAATTATAATCTGAGATGGGTCCTATTGAGGGGATAGAGATTACTTTTGTGACAGTTACAGAGTCTGGAAACGCTGTTATAGCATTAGAGAGGTCTGGGGAAGAGGGCCTGGCCACTTTCTTCCCTTGAGGGTTTACAAAGTTTACAATGGGAGTCCACAGAAGGAAGACCTTTCTCTACAGCTTGAGTCAGCATGAATAGCCAACATAGACTAGGGAGCAGATGCTTCCAGTGTGGACAACTTCTGCTGTGGCAGGCCACTGAGGTGGGAAAGAAGGTACAGATACTGCACACAACTCCTGAGGTAGCATCTCATGATGGCAAGAAGCTGAGGAGGCATCACTGCCATGACAGGAGCTACCATTTTTTTTTTTTTTAGTTTAAGTTTTTTTTTTTTTTAATTTTATTTATTTTAATCACAGGTCATTCACTTGTATCCCAGCTGTAGCCCCCTCCCTCTTTCTGTCCCAATCCCACCCTCCCTCATCTCCTCCCTGGCCCCTTCCAAGTCCACTGATAGGGGAGGTCCACCTCCCCTTCCATCTGACCCCAACTTATCAGTTATCTTCAGGACTGGCTGCAATGTCCTTATCTGTGGCCTAGCAAGGCTGCTCCTTCCTGGGGGGGGGGGCACGGGCAGGGAGGAGATCAGTGAACCAGTCATTCATTGAGTTCATGTCAGAAATAATCCTTGTCCCCCTTACTAGGGAACCCAGGAACTACCATTTTGACTGTTCCTGTGCTGTCCTGCTTTGATAGCTCTTGCTGTAGTGCTACTCAGAAACTACAACCACCTCCACCAAAACCAACGATAATAATAATACCATGAATTACTGGCAGCTGGGCCTGGTGGCATACTCCCAGCTACACAGAAGGTTCATGTAAGAGCATCAAAGTTCAAGGCCTGCCTGGACCACAAAATGATATCACAGCCCAAGGCTGGGTGGTGGTGGCACACATTTAATCCCAGCATTTGAGAGGCAGAGGCAGGCATATCTCTTTGAGTTGGAGGCCAGTCTGGTCTACATACATAGTTCTAGGACAGTCAGAGCTACTTAGTATTTAAAAAAAAAAAAAAAAAAAAAAAAGGCAAAAAGTCTGAGCAACTTAGTGAGACCCTCTCTCAAAATAAAACTTGTCTGGTACTGGAGAAAGGCTCAGTGGTTAAGAGCACTTGCTGTTCTTCCTGAGGACTGGAGCGCTGTTCTAGCACCCATGTCAGGATTCTCACAACCTCTAAATCCAGCTCCAGGGAAAAGGCATCCACGTCTGGCCTACTCAAGCACCCATCCATGTATGCATGTATGTTAGTGTTACAGCTCTGGGGAAAAGTATCCAGGCAAGCCAGGAGCCAAGGAATACCATAGTCACACTGCACAACAAACCTCACACAAGAGGTTTTTGGAAAAGAACAAGAGGTGGTGCTCTCTGCTCAGGTGAGAAAGAGCAAAGAGCTGAGCAGGAGGCAGGCTTTATATAGAGTTTGGGGGGTGGGAGGGCCTGGAATTTTCCAGGGTGGTCTGATCTTGAGGTAAGCTCAGGGTTGGTGGGATTTAAACTCAGGAATTGGTGGAATTTTGTGGCCTGATCTTGGGCTTTTTTTTTTTTTTTTTTTTTTTTTCCTGTAGTGCAGCTTGGCTGCTTGTGTCTCCATAACCTGGAAAAGGCAATTAAACTCATTAGAGTAGGCTGCAGGACATTCCTGGCCACTCTCGATCCTCAAGGGACTTATAATATATACCTATACATGCACACATGTACATTAGTAAAAATGTTAAAAATAAAAATAGCTGCAAAGAAAAATGAAAAAATGTGGCTACCAATGATTTGTAGCACAGGCCTTTATTTCTAGAATGTGGAAGGGAGAGGCAGGCAGATCTTTGTGAATTGGAGATCAGCCTAGTCTATATAGCAAGTTCCAGGCCAGCTAGGCCTATATAATAGACTCTTCATCAATAAATAAAAATTCCACCCTGCCAGGTGGTGGTGCATACCTTTGATCCCAGCACTTGGAAGACAGAGGCAGATGGATCTCTGAGTTTGAGGCCAGCCTGGTCTAGAGGTAGTTTCAGGACAGCCAAGGCTACCCTGTCTTGAAAACAAAACAAAAATTCCATCTTTTGTATCTGGGAAGTCTTAGGGAAGGGAAAAGAAAATGATCAAAATAGATAAGAAATTTAAAAACAAGGAAAAAATGTAATAATAATAAAATAAGGTAGCTGAACATGAGCCTAGGAGTAAGTTACTGAGATGCATTCCTTCCTGGTCTCTGCTTTTGTTCTTGAGTTCCTGCTTTGACTTCCTTTGGGAAGGACTGTATCGTATAGGCTGAAGTAAATAAACCCTTTCCTTCCCTAAAAATAAGTGAAAAAATGTAGAGGAATTTTAATCCAGCAACATGGCTGCTCGGATCACATCCAAAGACATTCTAGGTCTATGTGATCCAGCTGGAATGCAGACATACTCTGGATTACAGAATGATCTGGCTGGAATGGAATACAGACACACCATTAATACACACCTTTATTCTCAAACAATGAAAGCTAGTTTATGGAAGGAAGCAGCCATATTTGAAAGTGATGTCTAAGGGGCAAAGTGAAAAATCAGAGAAATATCTGACAGAATGAGTCAGAGATAGGATACACCCAACTCTCATGAGAACAGGAAAGAGGCTACTTAAAAGCATCTTGAAAAACCAAAAAAAAAAAAAAAACAAAACCAAACACATTGAGTTGAAGGATGTTTAAGATGGCATAGAGGAGCTTGTTTCTTCTGGGATGTTGGCTGAGTACGAAGGTCAGCTGGGTGCTTTCTCTGCCTGAGTTAGCAGGCTTTCACCCCAGCATCTGGCTCCTGAGTCCATATAGATAAAATTGAACATTTGGGATTTTGTTAACAACAGATTCTGTTTCTTATATATTGACTAATGGTTGGCTTGTGTTTAGTTACAGGTATAGACTGATGTTCAGGCATTCAGCATGTGGACAATTTATGTTGTTTTGAGACAGGGTCTACTCTATGGCCTTGGATGAAACTCTCTACATAGACCAGGCTGGCCTGAAACTAATAGAGATCATAATATTGACAGTATGTTTCCCAGGCCTGTGTAAGGTACCAGAGGATAGAAAACAGAGTAAGGGTGAGTATGGTGATGCACTTTTAATGCCAGCACTTGAGAGGCAGAGACATAAAACAGTTCTTCAGGAAATGCACCTATCTGTTGCAGCACCCAGAAAAGAAACAAAACTTTCATACACTATTTTTTTAAAAAGATTTATTATGTATAGTGTTTTGCCTGCATGTACACCTTCAGGCCAGAAGGGGGCACCAGATCGCATTTATAAATAGTTGTGAGCCACCATGTGGTTGCTGGGAATTGGACTCAGGACTTTTGAACAGCCAGCCAGTGCACCTAACCTCTGAACCATCTCTCCAGCCCATTTCTTTCACTGTTATAGAATGCAGAGAAAGCAGAAACTCTTAGATCACATAGTATTTTCCTAGGCTAGAAATGGTCCATTCTTGCTCAGCCCTCTTTTTACTTTACTACCTACAGTACATATGATGGGTTCCCAAATCTATCTACCCTCTATCCCCAGGAAGCTGTGATTGTTGCTATTTCACTGGAAAGTCACTGGGAATCTCCATGCATGATCCAGGACCACCCTGGATTGTCCACCTGGTTCAAGTGCAATCACCAGGGTGCTCATGAGGGAAAGCAGAAGAATCAGAGGTGTGGGGATGCAACCTTGGTCAAAGAGATGCAGAAGGGGAAATGCTGCTGGAGATGGAGGAAGGGTAAAGCTTAGTAGTGCAAGTGGCCTCTGGGAGCTAAAAAGGCAAGGGCTCTTTACTAGAGTTTCCACAAGAAACAAGCCTTGTCAGCATCCAGACTTCAGCCAAGTAAGACACCTACTACAGATTCTGGTCCTCTAGAACTCTTAAGTTTATGTTGTTTTAAAGGCAACAAAAATATAGTCCTTTGTTACAGTAACAACAGGAAATTCATAAAATCTCAAGTTTCGCTTTGAACTGGCACAATACTGCCAACTTCCTGGGCTTTACAGTAGCACTCTGGGCCCCATCAGGTTCTTCTGGTTTAAGGTTTTTCCTCTGTCCCTGTGGTCCTGTACCTGGCTATCTCTTGCTTAATAGGCAAAGACCTGGAACTCCTGATCTCCCTCCCCACTCCATGCTGCTATTACAGGGTGTGCCATCACACCCAATTTGGTGCTGGAAATCAACCCAAGAGAGTGTGTATGTTAGGCAAAAACTTTGCCAACTAAGCTATATCCTCAGCCCCTTTCACTTTTCTTTCTAATTCGAGAGAGGATTTCTTTGTGTAGCCTCGGCTGTCCTGTAGACCAGGCTGTCCTGGAACTCGAGAGATCTGCTTGGGATTACAAGCTTTCACCACTGCACCCAGCTCCCCTTTTCACGTTTCTGCTTGTCATATATACACATACACGAGAACATGAAGAAACTTCCTCAAGCTGTAAATTAGAGCTTGGAATTTCCATCATTCCAAATTTCATGTAGTGGCTCGCCCTCTTTGAGTGTTCTCTTTTCTTTTTTGGTTTTTCGAGACAAGGTTTCTCTGTCCTTGGCTATCCTGGACTTGATTTGTAGACCAGGCTGGCCTCGAACTCACAGAGCTTGCCTCTGCCTCCTGAATGCTGGCATGCCCCACCATTCTCTTCGAGCTCTCTACAAACAACTCCCTCCCCAACTTTTCAAGTTCTTTACAAATACACAAAGCCCCCACACTTTGGTCTTCCCAGTACCTCAGCTACTCAACTTCAGGATCCCTTAGATCACTCTCCCACCAGCTTGAAGACACTCTTCCTGCGATCCCCTGTCTGAAAGCACTCTTTTTAATGGATATCGCATCTCCAAAGTTTTCCCTTTAAAGCAGACTCCCATACTCCCTGCTCTGTTTTTTTTTTTTTTTTTTTCTTGGTCTTTCAGGCTTGTGGATCAACACTCCCACTCCGCATCTGTGGTCGTGGAAGGTCATCAGTCTTCCACAATGCTGAAACACAGGTGAATGCAGCGACATTTAAGTTGAGACCTAAAAGCCAGGGAGAATCAGAATGACTATGAAGCCAGCGTTAGCTCCGAGATCCATGCCTACCATTCATTTGTAAGACCAGCGCATCTTTTCAAGATGACAAAAATAGTGATTGCGTGTAGAGCAGAACTCACGGTATAGGGAATGATGAGAATAGGTTCCGGAGAGAGTGATACCCTGGCGGCTATGAGTTTAGGTCACCTCCCTGTTCCACGCGGTCCCTATGCCTGCCATTCATTTGACACGGCCGAATGGCTGTTTTCAGGGTGATGCCAACGGTGACCGGGCGCAGAGTAGGACGCACGGGATAAGTTACTTCGGGGAACAGATTCCGGGCAAAGTGATACCCCGGTGCTAGGTGCTAGGGAAGCTAGGTCGCCTCTCAGTCCTGCTCAGGTCCCCAACCAGCGTGGGATACGCGGCAGACTCTGGGTTCACCGGCCTGAAGCAGCTCACCCCCTTCCGCGTAGCCGCCCCGGCTTCCGCCTATCGCGGTGGCTTCCGCAGCCCCGAGGCCCCGACGTGGCGCCTCCATCCCGGGCCTGACGCTGGCAGCGCAGCCAATGGCGGCGTTTGCGGGGCGGCGCGCGGGGCCTCCCGCCGCCAGGGGGCGCCGCCCCGAGCGTCGCGGGCCGCCAGCTGCCGCGGTCGTCCAGGGAAGCAGCGAGACTGAGCGCTAGAGCGGTGAACGCAGAGGCCTCGGTTCCCTCCGCGCCCCGCGCCGCCGGCGTCCCGGCTGCAGCCCCGCAGGTGAGGACGGGGGATGCGCGGGCGCTGCGGAGAGGTGGGCGCTTTCCCGGTCGCGCGCGCCGCCGCCTCGTGTTAACGCGCGGCCGTTAACGGACTCCAGGCGGGGGAGGGGCGCGGACCCCGGAAGCCGGCTGCCCGGAATCCTCGGGGGTCCTAAACCGGGCACGCGCGGCGGCGCCTGCCACCTGGATAGCCTGGCTGACATCCGCGCACTCGCTTCTGGTGTTTCAGCATTTCGTTACTCCCGGGTGCGGGGTGGCCGCGGAGATCCGTGTTAATAAGTGTCTCTGTTTGGGGGCGCGCACGATGCCTGCTGAGTGCGCGCTCGCCCGTGTCGGGTTCGCCCCTGCGGGTGTTACGCGCGGCCCACCCGGCGTATGGGTAGCGACTGGCTTCCGGTGCTCGGCGGGAGTTCGGAGACTGTACGGGGGTTCTCGGTTTTTCTTTCCCCACCCTTAAAGAATGGAGACCTGTCAGTTCCCATTAGCGGGAATTTCCGGTTAAGGGGTGGTCAGCGCAGGGGTGTGGCCAAGCTGGAAGGTCCTGCCGGGGCCCACGGGGTGGTGCCTGCGCCCTGATAGGGTGAATTTATTCCGGGGCTGGGCGTCTTCGAGACCCTAGTTGTTAAGGGATCAAAGAGGGTTCACAGTGTTGAGTATTTAAGACCGAGGGCAGCTGGTGAAACTAGACCTGCGCTGTCCACCATGGTGGCCACTGGTCACGTGGGGCCGTCGAGCGCTCGAATGTGGCAAGACTTGAGGTACTCGTCTGGCTTCAGTTTTGTTTCTTTTTTTATTTTTTTTCGAGACAGGGTTTCTCTTTGTAGCCTTGGCTGACCTGGGACTCACTCTGTAGACCAGACTGGACTCGAGCTCACAGATCCGCGCTGCCTAATGCTGGGAGTTAAAGGCGTGCGCCACCCTCACTCAGCTCTGGTTTCAGTTTTAAAGTGTAATTTGAAAGATTTAGTTTGGGATAAAAAAAAAAAAAACGAAAAGATCTCTCTGGTAAGCTCTTATACTTGAATCAGTATGTATTTAGCAAGCAATGGTTGCGGTGATACCTGTTGTGGCCACGTTAGATTAAAAACAATCTGGTTTTCTCTTTACTGTTTTAGTATGGCCACTTGATAATTTAAAATGGCACTTAGGGTTGGCATCGTACTTCGATTGGACAGTGCTCAACTGGAGCGTCGGAATGGGGAGGGGCTGGGAGCCCCTGCCATCTGCTCTTTTTCTGCTCTTCTGGAAGTGGCTTCCTATCCAGGAGGTTCTTAAGGAATCTTTTCACCCTCAGTTGCTTGTGTGGTGGGTTTGGGGGTGGGGTGCATGAACAGTTTTCTCTGTCCGTTTTCTGCTGTTGGACTAGCAAGGTGAGCTGCAATTGGGAATCACATTGAGTTGTTGAGGCTGAATATTGTCAATATTTGGAGAGGGGCATTGTGCAAAGAGCAGGTTGATTTAGTGTCCTCCCGATGAACTGGGACAACTGCTTTGTGTTCTTGGGACTTTTGGCTGGGAGTTATATTCAGAACTACACCTCTTCCATTGTCATTTCCAGATCTGTTAGTAACAGTATTCATTTGTCAGACATGAGGCCTTCGGTTGTTAAGATTGACAGATTATTGAAACCTGCTGATTTGAGCATGTTAAATCCATTTATAAGTGGAGAGGTTGGTTAATAGGCAGTCAACTTTGGAAATAGTTTGAATTGCTAGTTAAGAGAAATCAAAAACATTGCCTACTCTCTTGTTACATATAGTTTAGAATGGGTTTTCTAGACAATACCATGTGAGGAAATTTTTATCTATCTAATACCTTTGTGTGTTTTGTCTCAGCAAACCCACATTTTTCTCCATGATCTTCAAGTGAAATGCGTATACATCTTGGGGTGTCAGCTGGGTGCCTAGGCCTGCACCTGTAGACTTAGCCACTTGTCATAGTGAAGTGAGAGGAGGCCTTTGAGCCCAGGAGTTCCAGAAGAGCCTAGGAGACAGAGTGAGGTCTCATCTCAAACAGCAAACAACAGAACTATTCCAACAAACTTCTGAGGTATTTACAAATGAAGTAAAAGCTTTCTCTACACACATGCATACCCACCCACACTTTTTTATTTTTATTTTTTTTTAAGTACTGTCCACTATGTGAGCTGGGCATTAAACTAGGGTCATCAGGCCCAACAGTAATTACTTAACCAGCCATCTTGTCACCCTCTCATTGCTTTCTAAGTAATTTCATTGATGTTAAAAAAATGAGGTTACTTAACCTTACCAGGTTTTGCCATAATAAGAAATCTACAAATTTGCTTTTTAATTCTACAAGTTTAGCGATGTGTTGTCTAGTTAATTTCATAACATTATGAAAGTATATGAACCATGAGATGGGGGTATTGAGGGGCTGTTGTGCTGTTGCTCAGACATGTCTGTTGACAAGGCAAGAAATGTCAGCCCTTGAGCTGGAAGGGCCTCCCGAGGATCCGAGTAACAACCGTGGTGATTTAGGCAAATTAGCTTAATGAAATCTTTTCTGTTGAATAATCCCATGTTTGTATGTAAAATACAGGGTTCCTCATCAGCTGCCATGTCTGGCTGGAGGCTGTTTCCCTTTACAGAAGAATCTGGAATGTCTTGTTCCTGTCGAGGGGGGGGAAGGGAGAACTTAGCCCAAATAAGGGGTTACCTTTCTGGTGCTGCTGGGTGTAGCCTCCTCTAGTTTTCAGGAAAGGGAGCTCTCTCAGAAAGAGAGAAACTGTCTCAGGGAAGGGAGAAGCTGTTTCAGGAAGGGAGAAGCTGTTTAGCAGGGTTTGTCTACCTGGATTGCAGCAGGCAGGGTGTGGCATTTGCCCTCTTGCCCCCAGCTGAATAAGTGAAGAATTAGCTGTGTATACTGCGGCAAGAGAAGGTCCACTGTAACATTACTTGAACCACTTGGTTTTGGTTTGTTTTGTTTTGCTTTTTCAAGACAGGGTTTCTTGTCTAGCCCTGACTATCCTGGAACTCACTCTGTAGACTAGGCTAGCCTCAAACTCACAGCAATTTGCCTGCCTCTGCCCCCCAAGTACTGGGATTAAAGGCGTGCATCACCACCATCTGGCTTGGTTGTTGTTTTAAATCTGGCTTATGGGAAGGCTTAAGTCTGAGGAGAGAATTACAATTAAAATTTTTAACTGAAACTAGGGATACTTGGGCAGTGAGATGGCTCAGTGGGTAAAGGTGCTTGCTGTGTAAACCTGAAGACTTGAGTTCAATCCCCAGAACCCACATAAAGGTGGAAGGAGAGAACTGACACCATAAAGTTGTTATCTGACTTACATGTGTGTGCTGTGGAACAGAGGCTCACATACATGTCACATCCCCTTGGGATACTTTTTTAGAGCAAAAATATAATAATAATGGACCACTTTTTCATGCACCCTTTAAAAATATTTTTTATTTATGTTTTGACAATTTCATACACATGTATCTTTTATCTTTTTTAAAAAATAATTTATTTTATGTGCATTGGCTTGAGGGTGTCAGACCACTTGGAACTGCTTATGGACAGTTGTGAACTGCCATGTTCACAACTGGGAACTGAACCAGGTGCTGGGAGTTGAACCAGGTCCCTTGGAAGAGCAGACAGTGCTCTTAACCACTGAGCCATCTCTCCACCCCTATATCTTGTATCATGATCATATCCACATCCAAAATGCTTTGCCAGATTTATAATGATAGTTGAACCAGGGCCACCTGATAGTCCATCTGTGTCTGTAAAGAAGGTTGCTTTACATGAGTATTTGTATCTGAATATGTTCTGGCCAACCATAGTCCATGGAGCAGTTTTCTTGGGAGTGCTTTTTGGCCCCTCAGCTTGACCAAAGATGCTTTAAACGATTCCCTTTGAGTATGTCTCTGTGTGTACATGTGTGCATAGCATGTTTATTCCATTCCTCTTGAGTGACCGTCCAGTTCCCTTCTGTGTCTGAGCCCAGGCCACCTGAGGCAGGTTCTGGTCCTCCTCCAGGAGCCTGGGGCACTTGAAGAATAGTGAGCTGCACAGGATCTGGGGCCAGTCCTGTGTCCAGGGCTCCTTCTTTGTGTTCCATCACAGCACTGAGAGCAGATGACTTACTTCCGGTAGAGCACTTGGCACAGCTGTGTCCAGAGAGGGTGTCAGCTGCTACTTCTGTCTCAGTATGGACAGTAACGTCTCACCTTTCTGAATCTGCTCATGGAAGCTGGTTTCTCCCCATGCTGTGAAAGGTGAAAGGTCGTGGATTTCACCATACTGGGCTTGTACTAGACTGAAGGACAATGCCTTTCACCTAAGGGACACTGACTGAACAGGAGATTAGAATGGGGATCCAGGGCAATTTTTCTCCTCCTCACATAACTTCCTTCCGGGCAAATAACAAATTTTAAGAGAGTTGGTTTCTGAAAGAGATCAGAGTATCTAGCTTGTTAGAGTTAACAAAACTAATACATACTTAACTGAGTTTCCTGATTGAAAGTGTATGGCTAACAGCCCTCCGTCAATTTCTTCTTAATTGAGAAGTGTTGGTGTAGGAAGTGCATTGTCATACTCCCATATGGTTTTAGGTTCTTTGTGGCTGTCTATATCTGTTTCTTAATCTAGTGCTTTAATCCCCATCTTGCTCTTGCAGGTGGTTAGAGGTGGAGTCCCACCATAGCTGGTGTGTGTTGCACCAGTCATTTCCTGTTTGGACCCTCCTTTCTTCTGTTGCTTTATTTGTTTGCTTGCTTCCTCGATTGCTTGTTAGAGACAAGGGTTCCTTCTGCAGCCCAGACTAGCCTGGAGCTCTCCATCCTCCTCCTGTCTCCCTAGGTGCTCGGACTAAGACGTGAACCACATGTCCAGCTCATTCTTTGTGAACAGTTTGTTTGTAAACAGTTCTGCAGAGTTCCACCTCATTTCTGGACTTTTCATGAAGCATTCTCTTTCACTTGGCTACTTCGTTCATTCTCCCATCCAACTACTTAGTGACCTAGTTCTATATGCTGTTCATATAGTCAATACCAAGAGACAGGTCCTGTTTAAATGAGTAATAGAGGTTAAGGTGGGCATTGTTGCAATTTAAGGTGATAAGGGAAGGTCCCAAGACTTCAGGAAGAAAAGTAGCCAGCTCTGTGGGAGACTCTTGTAGATTGTGGGCCGAGAGAACAGCTAGCACAGTGCCTTTGAGTAGAATGTGCTCCAGCGTGCTCCAGCCAGTCATACAACACACAGAAATCCTGTGTGGCCTGGAGGAGGAGTGGTGTGCAGGGAATGGGAAAGTAGGCTCCTTTAGTCTTAGCAAGGAAGCAAAGTTTTCTTTTAAAGTGCCTTAGAAAGGCACTGATGAACTTCACCCGGAAGTGCAGTAATGAAGTTGTTGGGTAAGTTTTGTTTGTTTTGATTTTTTGAGATGTGATCTTTTTTTAAAGCCCAGACTGACCTTAAACTCTTGATGATCTTGTCCTCAGAATAGCTAGGACAACAGAAGTGTGTCACCACTCCCAACTCCTAAATTGTGTTATTACAAGAACCTTCCTCTTAGCTTCCTGTGGGAAGTGGATGGGAGGAGGTCTTAGAGGCTTGGGGTTCCCTGCATGTGTTCTCATGTTCTGATGGTGTCTTTGGTGGGTGTTCAGAGTTGTTAGAATGTAGGATTGTGAATGAAAGAACAGTGTACACTGAGTTTCTGGGTGGAGGATCTGGCTAGGTTTGGGAAGAAAACTTGGTGGGGCCAAGTAAATAATTACCTCTGTAGTTAAGAGCCCTTGCTATTCTTGGAGAGGACCCAGCTTTGGTTCCCAGCTTTCACATGGTAGCTCACAATTGTCTGTAACTCCAGTTCTAGAGGATCCATGTGGGTGTTGGGAATTGAATCCAGGTCCTCTGGCAGAGAAATCAGTGCTCTTAACTGCTGAGCCATCTCCATAGCCCTGTTACCCTGTTTTTTTTACTAGGCTAGACTGGCTAGCCGCAGGCCTCAGGGATCATCCTCTGTCTGCCTTACCAGCACTGGCATTACAGCTGCTCATTCCTGGACCTGACATTAATGTGGGTACTGGGAGTCAAACTCAGGTCCCCATGTTTGCAAGGCAAGTACTTTACTTTCTTTTTTTTTCTCTTACATGTTGAGGTGTTTTGTGTGTATGCGTATCTGTGCACCATGTGTGTGCAGTACCTGCAGAGGCCACAAGAGGGCATTGGATGCTCCAGAATTGAAGGCACAGGTGGTTGTAAACTGGCTGCTTCGGTACTGGGAATAAAACCAGGGTTATCTGGAAAAGCAGCCAGTGCTCTTAACTTTTGAGCCATTACTCCAGTTCCTAGATCAGAGTTTGTTTGTTTGTTTTTTTAAATAATAAATACTAGAAGAAAACATTTAAAAATTATTTTGTAATTTCAGAATGACTGTATTTCTGAGTATGTCAGACTCTGGTACTTGCTTCAAAAGCACATGCACTAAAATTAGAATAACGCCAAGATTAGCATGGCCTCTGCATAGATGACACACAAATTTATTACTCCAGAAGACACAACGGAAAGTATTGATGATTTCAGCTACTGAGAAATAAAATTCTCCCTGTGGAAAGTTCGAGGACAAAGTAAAAACAAAACAAAAAACTGACATAAAATTGGGAGACATTCTGATGGCATCTTAATGTGTGTCTTAGGTGTTTTGTCTCAGTCAAGAGTTTCTGTAGTAGTGAGGCTCAGCTGAGAAATGTTTCGTGGAGGAGGCGCAAGCAGTGGAAGTGTGGGAAGGTCCCGAGCTCTCAGCATGTTCTATACTGCTTTTCACCTCCCTGGTTGATAAAGGTGAACACTCAGTTCCCTAGTGGAGTGCTGGCACAGGAGCTCTTCTGATTGGTGATGGGCAGTGGTACAGCCATGCCCTTTATTCTACCTAGATGAGAGATGCTGACACATTTATGCAATGCTCTGTGTTTCTGGTGAACTTGCAAGGTTGTTACCAGCAGGATGTGTGTTTCAGGGCTTTGGGTACGTTGTGGTACAAGCTAATCCTGGAGCATTGTGTATGGTATGTGTGGGTAGATACTGAATGCTGTGAGATTTGGTGCATAGTGCAAAAGGCCAAGTGCACAACATGTTAATAGCCTTAGTGTGAACCAAAAAAAACCCATGTACAAAAGTTTTTAATTTAAAGATAATTATAGACTCACAGGAAATTACAAAGGGAGTATTTAGAGTCCCATGAACCTTTTACCCTTCTCTCTCTGGTGACAAACACATTACAAGTAAGAAAAAGCAATGGACTGTTGCCCATTCATACTGTGCTGGCTTTCCGTTAGCACTCTTGTGCTTGTGTATATGCACATTGCATGTGTTATTCTATGCTGTTTTGTCTAGAGGTTCTAATTTGTAGCACCTAAATTGAGACAAATTTTGTTGTTGCTATTTTGTTTTGTTTCCTTGAGACAGGGTCTCATGTAGCCCAAGTTAACCTGAATGCACTATATAGCTAAGAATGGCCTGAAACACTTTCTACTTCCTCTGAATGTTTGGAGTATAAGTGTGTGCCACCAGGTCTGGTGTAGATAAAGGGTTTTCTATAGGGTATTTTAAGCAGGATCCACAAGAGACTGGAAGCAGTGATTGCTTGGTTGCTTTTGGGGAAGACAAATGAGGTGAGTCAATGTGACAGTATTGTTGGGAAGGAGATATTCCTTTTTACTATCATAGTGCCTTATAAACAATTCAAGACATCTCTGTGACACTTATGTGGAACTGTCAAGGCCAGAGAGCCATCTGCAACTCCCAGAGATGGATGGGGTATGGTCAGTAGTCGAGGCCTAGCTGGGTGTCATTGACATCTGAAGGTCTTCTAGGGAAGAGAGTACAGATGAAGCCCAGGCTGCTTGCCCAAGGGAAGGACAGGTGAAGATGAGCTTCAGGCTTTGAAGATACAGTGGCCAGTGAGGTAGGGCTTAGGAAAGGCCATGAGGGAAGGTGAGGAAGAAGTAAAAAAGTGAGCAAAAGTAGCGTAGCTTTTGCTCTGTGTGAGCAAGTGACTGTTGCGTTTTCTTTAAACGTTTCTCCTACTTACCTGCAGGGAAGATACCATGATCAAGATGGTGGTTTTCCCAGTTGATGGTCATTGTTGCATTTGGGCTGTGTTGACTCCTGAGATTTTCCAAATTCGGGAAATACAACTGCATAATTTGTGGTAATGGGGGATTGTATTTGTGTTCTTCCTGTAAAGAAAAAAATATTTTCAGCTTGACAGAGTAGTGCACACCTTTAATCTCAGCCCTTGAGAAACAGAGGCAGGTGGATCTTTGTGAATTCAAGGCCAGCCTGTTCTACAGAGTGAATTCAGGACAGTCAGGGCTACACAGAGAAACCTTGTCTCAAAATAGGATGAAAAGAAAAAGAAAAAAAAAAAGAAGGAAAGAAGGAGAGGAGGAAAAGGAAAAACCCATAAAAACATTCTCTTTAAAGTTAAGGTCAAGTACCTGGAGAGGTGTTGCACGTCTGTAATCCCAGCTCTCGGGGGAGGCAAAGGCAGGTGCTCTCTGTAAATTCAAGGCCAGCTTGGTCTACAAAACTAGTCCAGGACAGCCAAGGCTAAATAGACCTGTCTCAAAAAACAAAAACAAACAAACAAACAAAAAATGGAGGTGGGAGGTAGGGTTTTTTTCCAAGTGAAGTTACAGCTATAGTTATTTATTTATTTATTTTGGTTTTTCTTTTGGATTTTTGAGACGGGTTTTTTTTGTAGCCTTCACTGTTCTAGAACTAGCTTTGTAGACCAGGCTGGCCTCGAACTGAACTCACAGAGATCCTCCTCCTTCTGCCTCTTGAGTGGGGATTGAAGGTGTGTGCCACTGCCAGCTAAAGATTTTATTTTTATTTATTCATTTGTTTTATTTTTTGTGTGTGTCTGTATATGTGTATGCCACTTGTGTTCAAGTACTCTCAGAGGCCAGAAGAGAGCATTGGATCCTCTGCAGCTATTGTTCCAGGAGGTTGTGGGTCATTGGATATGGGTGCAGGTGACTGAACTCAGGTCCTCTGCAGGAGCAGTGTACACTTACTCTTAAGGGCTTTAACCACAGAGCCATCTATCCAGCTCCTCCCCTTCTCTTCCTCTAACCCTTCCCTCCGCCCTCCCAGTGCTTGGTGATTGATTCCCGGGTCTTGAGCTTCCTATGCATGAGTTCTCACTGAGACAGTAAGGTTCTGACTCTAATTCAGTCCTGATAAGGGCTTGTGATGTAGTCTAGTAGTAGACTCCATGTTTAGCCCATGTGAGGTTTTGGATCCAGCCTCTGCACTCTGTGCCACATTCCCTACACATAAAAAGCAAGTAAGGGAATTGGTCCAATTCAAGTGAAAGAGAGAGAAAGCTTTATGGTCTAAGTTTGTCTAAGGAAAGCCTCAGAGGCAGTGCGGCAAGTGTTTTCTTTCTTTTTTAAAAGTTTGTTGTTTTAAAATTATTTATTTTTATTTTATATGTATTGGTTGTATATCTGTGTGAGTGTGTTGCATCCCCTGGAACTGGAATTAGAGACAGTTGTGAGCCATCATGTGACTTGAGCCTGGGTTTTTTGGAAGAGCAGCTAGTGCTCTTAACCACTGCACCATCTTTTCACTCCCCAGGGTCATTGATTTTTAAAGGCTCATTCTGGAAATTTTCAAAGACATGAAAGTGAATTCCTGAACTTGCCACTCACGGTTATCAGTGTTCTGCCTTTTCATCCTGATTCCCCTCTTACAAGTTAGAAAAGTGTTTGATTGTTATTTTTTATTTGATTTTATTTTCTTGAGACAGGTGGAGCCCTGGTTGTCCTGGTAATTGCTCTGTGTTCGCCACCAGGCCATGGGGAAATATTTGAGAGCAAGTGGTAGATGTCTTTTTTGAGTACCACCTTTGCAGTATCAAATACAAGTTCTTAGCACTTGATAGTGTTAGGAAGACCAAAGGATGCATGCCAGTCAACCTCCAATTCTGTATATCTTAAAATGACATTTCAGTGGTCATTAATGAAAGCAATAGTGAAACCAGGACATTCTAGCTGCCAGCTGGAAGGATGGGTGAAATTTTCGTTCTGTCTCAGGTCTGAACACACAAGTTGTATGCTAAGATACTTTGTTCATTGCACATCTTTCTTCTCAGCCGAGGGTGATTGGAGGCCCCTTCCCATACTGGGCCTCCAGGGATGTTTGGCAATATCTGGAGATATATTTGATTGCCACAGATGGTAGATAGAGAGATTGCTAATCTCCAACAATGTGGAAGACACCCTACAAACAAGTAGCCATTAGATGCTAAGGCTGAGAATCTAGCTTAGGGATCAGGGAATCTTATTTATTTGTTTATTTATTTAATCAAGACAGGATTTCTCAGTATAACCTTGGCTGTCCTGGTTGTAGACAAGGCTGGCCTTGAACTCATAGAGGTCTGCCTGCCTCTGCCTCCAGAGTGCTAGGATTAAAGGCGTGTACCACCACCACCACCATATCCAGCAGGAATCCATATTTTAAAATTTTATGTGTGTGGGTGTTTTGCCTGCACAATCGTCCTTGTACACGTTAGAAAAAGGCGTGAGATTACCTGGAACTAGAGTCACAGATGGTTGTGAGCTGCCATTGTAGGTGCTGGGATTTGATCCCAAGTCCTAGAAGGTCAGTTGATTCTCTTACCCACTGAGCCATCTCACCAACCTCCAGAAATCCATGCTTGATTTCAGGTCCCTTCTCAGGGTTCTCTTTAACTTGCTGGGACTACTCCGTGCAGGCTGCCCAGAGGGACAGATAGCGGTAACATGAATTCACCATATTTAGAGCTGTTTGGACTGTCAGTAAAGGCTAGCTCAGCAGCCCTGGCTCTGCATACTAGGAAGTCAGGTCTCTCTGAGGCAGGCGGATGCAAAGTGTTCATTTCTGGAGATCTTCCAGAAGGTAAACAAGGCTGAGATTGTTCTTGTGACAGTTCATGCATGTGGTTTGACAGGAAGAAACAAAACCTGTATGAGGAAGGGAGATGACTGTGTGGAGACTAGTTAGGAGTAGTATATAAGATTGGCAGACTCATGTACAGCGAGATAATAGTATGCTGTGGACACAAGACCACAGGGACCCCAAAGAAAGGCCTAATGGGCTCCTCAGTGTCCAGAACTTTTGGAGATGGGTATGTTCTGGTCACAGTGAAGGGCCTAGAGTTGGGTGTTTTAATGGGGATCAAGAATTGCTGGCAGCTACCCTAATTTTGTGCCTTGTTTCTTTGCAGATTGCTCATTTAGCAAGTGGATGTGCGGGGTAACATGTCCAGTGTGTCCGAGGAGAGAAGAAAGAGGCAGCACAACATTAAGGAAGGTCTACAGTTCATCCAGTAAGAGCTTGACACCTCATGGCCAGTGTGCTCATTATGGAGTCCACATGTGTGGAAAGGCAGAGGACTCTTGCTTTTTTCCAGGCTTGTATTATTCTGTTTTGAGGTAGAATCTCACACTGTATCCCCAGAAAGCCTCACACTCCTAGGAATCCTCCTGCCTTCGTCTTTAAGGCATGAGCCACCATACCTAGCAAGGCTGAGAGAACACATTTCCCTGCTAGCACTTTTTTCCTTATCCTTTTGGATGTTTTTATGTACTTCTTATCACTGGATTTTAGGGCTAAATCCCTGATGTTGCAGCCTCTTTCCCTAAATTAGATTAAAGCATTGGGCTGGGTTCCCATAAGAAGCATACTGGTAAATTAAACATCTGGAATGAACATCTGCAGTAAAGAGGGCTTTTGCTTCAGACATTATGTTAGGAACAGCACCAGTGACAGCTTTTCCTGGGGAACATGTCCAGAACAGAAGGGCATCTTTTTTTCTTCTGGGAAGGAGACATTGTTGGGCAGTTAATCACATCAGAAATTGACAATAGTAGATTCAAAAGAAGTGTTGGACTTAAGGAATAATAACACCTTCTGTGGTGGCCAGTGCCTAAAATCGCAGTACTTGTCTGTAATTCCTGCACTGGGGGGCTAGTGGCAGGAGAATCAAGAGTTTGAGGCCAATCTGGGTTATATGAGACCCTGTCTTTAAAAAAAAAAAGCTGAGCAGTGGTGGCACATGCCTTTAATCGAGGCATAGGTGGTTGGATCTCTGAGTTCAAGCCCAGCTTGGTCTGTAAGAGTGAGTTCCAAAACAGCCAGGACTATACAGAGAAACCTTGTCTCAGGAAAAGAAAATAGTTTTCTAAAAACTGCAACTTTTTTTTTTTTTTTTTTTTTTTTTTGTGGTGTTTTGAGATAGGACTTCTCTGTAGCCCTGGCTGTACTGGACTTGTTTTGTAGACCAGGTTGGCCTTGAAGTCACATATCTGCCTGCCTCTGCCTGTGCTGGGATCATAGACGTGCAATACTGCACCCTGCTTTTTTTTTTTTTTTTTTAAGGTTTGTTTTTATTTGTATAAGTGTTTTACCTCCATATATGTATGTCTACGGTCTATGTGTGTGGTGCCCTCAGAAGCCAAAAGAAAGTGCTAGGTCTTGGAGTTGTCATGTGGCTGTTGGGAACTGAATCAGGGTCCTCTGCAAGAAAAGCAAGTACTGTGGGGTTTTTGTTCTTTGTTTTTTTTCTTAGGCAGGGTTTCTTAGCTGGACTTGCTTTGTAGACCAGGCTGGCCTCGAACTCACTGAGCCGATCTCCTTGAGTACTGGGATTACAGGCACTCGCTACCGTGAGTGGCTACACTTCCTCTTAACTGCTGAACCATCTCTCCAGCCCCTAAAAAACACAGGTTAAGATAACTTCTGGCTGAATAACACAGATTGGGAGCCTGTCTTGGTGGAGCTTTTTTTTTTTTTTTTTTTTTTTTTTTGGGAGGGGTTTAGAGACGGGGTTTCTTGATGTAGCCTCGCCTGTCCTGGAGTCAATTTGTAAATCAGTCGGGCCTGGAACTCCCAGTGATCCGCCTGCCTCTGCCTCCTGAGTGCTGGGATTACGGGCGTTAGTCACCATGTCCATCTGGTGGAGCATTCTTGTAATCCTAGGATTTGGGAACTGGAGGCAGGCTGATCTCAGCAAGTTCCAGACCAGTCAGGGCTACTGTCTCAGAACAAACAAAATTTTTAGTAGAACTTGGTAACTACAAAAGATTTATTTCTTTTTCTCAGGTCTCCATTGTCATATCCAGGGACCCAGGAGCAATATGCGGTAATGACTTTGGGAAGGGCTGTGGATGGTCACAGGGGCTTCAGTCTAC